TTGTATTTTTTAGCTGTTGCTTTAGTTATTGTGGTACTTATCTTTGTGGTGATGATGATATTTTCTGGTTTTATAGTTGATTTGAGTAGTTTATATAGTTGGATAGGCTGGCTTAAATGGTTGAGTGCTTTTCGATATGCATCGAATCTGTTAACAATCAATGAATTTCGTGATATCACTTTTTGTTTGGCTAATATGACATCAGTTTGTCCAACCAATGGAACGGATATATTAAAAAGTAAACAAATTGATTATGGATCAGATTGGGATCAATGGAAAGATGTTTTAGCATTAGGAGCAATGGCTGTTGCTTTTTTTGTTTTTGCTTTTATTCAACTTATCAGAATGAAAAAGACCAAATAATACTTTTTCAAAAATAAAATGGAGAAGAATTATTCTACTCATTAGAAAGAAAAGATATTTAATTTATTGTGAGATAAGAAAAATAAAGTATCTTGATGGTGTGGACAAAGAAAAGATGAGCTCATAATCAGATTGCTTATCAGGGGCGTAGCGAAGCGTCCAAGGTAGAGGGGGTAGAGCGTAACAAGAAATGTCGTATGCAAAAAAATCGGGGATGTTGGACGATTTTTTTAGCTTTCTGGGAAAGTTTTAAAAGTTTTATAGGCGGTTTTTGGAATTTTTTGGAAACTTGTCGCAAATTTTAGGACAGAAATATACTAACGTTTACAAAGATTTTGCAGACGGTGACGTTTAGATTTCACCCGCTTGCAACAACTTTTAGTGTAACATCAGTAATTCCAAAAAGTAGGGGGGCGCAGTATAAGAAAATTTCGAAAGCAGAGGGGGCCGTTTCACTCGCACGCCCGGTACTTCGGTTCGCCCCTGTTGCTTCTTTTGTGAGTATTTGATATTTCTTGCAAACTGCACAAGAGAATACTGCTACTAAAGTGAACACAACATCAGTGGCGTATCCAGAATTTTTATTGATAGGCCAAAAATTTTTGACTCAGCAAAGTACTGATAACGTAGAAAAACCCCCAAAAAATTTAATGAGGTTCTATGAATCAAACATTCATTAAACTCAGATCTTAATTCCGAGTTAGGTGTATTCTATTCGATTTTAGTGTCTCTGTTTATAGTATTTATATTTCAAATGCAAACGCCTAAATCAGAACGACGAGAGATCGTTTATGTATATCATGTCGATATTTCATCTCTATGAATGTTATTCCATTTTTCACTTGTCAGTTGTACACATACGAATAGAAAATTGTAATACATCTTCGAAATTATTTTTTGGTCAATATTTATTTACAAATAAAAACAACTCGACTAGTTATGAGAAAACAATTCAAATGCAATTTCATATTATTCTAATTTGTTGTTGTGGCTGCAGCAGCTGCAGCTTTTTCCATTCGTTTAATTAATTGATTTTG